GTGAGTAGAAGTGGGTTAAGGCAAAAATAACTATGAAACATGTGATATTAGCAAACGAACCAAAGGTAAAGTTGTAGAATAGAATAAATGCAAACTTACAAACTATCCAAGTTAACAAGTTGTGATTCTATTAGCCTAAATAACATTATTGAGAAAGTATTTTGATAGAAATTCACATCTTAGTTTGGTTTATCACGTTGAAGCTGGAAAGGAGGTTTAAACCAAATCCCGAATTCAACACAGGATTGCGACCTGTGTGCAGAAGACCAACAACGAGGATATGTGTGCACAGAAATAAGAGAAAGCTCGTAACACTAAGAGCTTGATAACACGAAAAATCAAGGGTTTAAAGCACAGAGAATCCTCGCTCGGAGGTTCTAACATAGTATGATCAAATAGACCGCACGAAATTGGCCGGTTCAAAATCAATCACAAGGTGATTATTCGAGTCGTTACTTGTCTTTTTATCTCATTTCGTCTACATTTATTAAGCTGGTGACATAATTCAATACTTTTTTTTGGAAAAAGCGCCGCTTCAATTTGTGTACGGTTGAGTTTGACAAAGGAAAACGAATTCCTTTCAAAATTCAAATTATGAGTTGATACAATTCATACAGATCACAACCTCCGAACGGCACTTAATGACAGCCATTTTGGATGGCGGGTGAGTGGCAATGAAAATTCCAAATAGACAACCCTGTCATCCCATACATGAGATGAACTGTGGAATACATCTTTACTTGTTTTAAGATCTGGGAAAAAGTTACTGTTGAGCACATAGTGATAATGCGTAACACAACACTGCGAAGCTGATGAGCAAACACCGCACTTCCAGCACGAGAGATCATACGCCAAAATGTTAACAATTTAATTCGGTTCAATTGCAGGAATTGCTGGAACCACGTGGTACGACGTGGTATGACTACTACTTTCACAAAGAACAAGGGACAGTTGACCACATGACCCCATTGCTGGCGGGTTAAACAGAATCAGGAAGTTGCAGTTTTTAACCAAACGCGAAGTCAAAAACTTCACAAACAATTTCTCCTACTGTGATGACTAACATTACCGTTCAAACACAGATTTAATCTTACATTCAATAATCGGACCGTAAAAAAACAACCTACGTGACGTGTCAGTGAAATCACGGCAACAGGCAATTTAGCCTAACACTTTGAAGTTTGGGTGAGAAAATCACTTAGGGGGAATAAACAGATCTCCACATTGAGATAGGATCATTCAAGCACTTAACATTAAAAATTTAAAAAAAAGTATAATTTTGATTAAACATTGAGCAAAAGTTGTGAGTCATATCTATCGTATGCAGCTGCTAGGATTCAATACTTCGATTTCGTGTTTTAGAAGTGAAGAGACGCTTGGCGTGATCTCTTCCAAGACAATAAAAGGTCAAATAAAACCCAGATTAATGAAACACAAAAATCAAAATATGCCCCTGCGATTCAAAATTAAAGAGAACAGGAAGCGACAAAGGCTCGCCGAGTTAATTACTACTTGTAGCGGCGACACGTGGAGTTAAAGAAGCACGTTCGAAATATTAAATCCGAAAAAGACATTGGTGGCATGTAATTGAGAGAACGAAACCTTTAGTATAACCCCACGATAAATTTAAAACTCAATAACTTAAGTACAGCACTCAAGGTAGAAAGTGCCAACGCATCCGACGATTACGAAGGTTCAAGATTGGTGTACATATGGTCCAGGGGTGATTGAAAATAGATTTGATTACTCCGAATGAGGGTGGCTAAATCAATGCATGGAAATAAAAGGCTAGCGCTCAGCAAATTCACAAATTAGTTTTTGCCTTAATCGCAGACCAAGTTGGATCAGCGGTTGGAGCGCATACTGTTAAGACTAACTTAAAGCATCAAACATCCACAAAACATTCGGCTGAAATCACGCATAGAGGAACAAGGGGGAAGGGCCGAACAGTGCAAAGTCTTTCGAGTTTCGAAATGCACACAGGCACTTATTTTACTTGCATTTCTATGTACCATGGAGGAGTTGAACAAAACACCTCTGTTGACTTTCTTGCCGAAAATTATGACTGCGCATGAGCTCACGCCGGTTAAACCTAGACAAAAGTCCTCATAAATAGTCAACATATGGTAAATCCTAAAGAGAGGATACCGCTTGCTAAGTTAAGGAACTAAGATTAAAAGACTACATGTAGATTCGAAATAAAAGGATACGTCCAACGTATGCTTCCAGCTCCGAGGCCATAGGAAAGGTTCCGAGGTTAGATCTAGAACGAATAAAAATGAGACATGATTCACTCGGATAAAGCAGGCACACCTAAAAAAACGTCAAAATAAATTATCTCTGAAGGTGGCAATTAGCTCACGTTCGTGGTTTGAAACTTAAACCGCCATGACTAGAGCCGGAGTTTGAGGGGAGTTTAAACTCAGGGAGCATAAAAAGCTCGGGCTGGAAGTACGAGTATCAAATAATCCCAGTTAATACTTCAGGGAGGACTAATAGGAGAAGCAAATTTAATAAGAGGTGAAAATACGTGCAAGCTGACCTCAAAATTTTCAATGATACACGACTCGTCTATTTACTCCCCAAGGAATTCTTGCGGCAGAATGACGTTTCACAGTTGGATGGATTTAGGACCTGTTCACAAGCACTCCGCCGGGAGACTCAAACAGAAGTTACAAACTTGACCGAACATACTTTGCATGAATTTAAAACCATGTAATATGTGGTAACTAGAGCCACAAGATGTGATAACTAGAGTAACTATACCACTAGTAGAAAAAACTTGCAATGACTTATGTGGTCGTTCCACCATTTAACCCTAACACAATTTTAATTGGGTTAAAATTGCAGACAAAACCTGCTGGACGGCACAAAATTTAGCTACACTTATTCTCAAGCAGGGAAGAATTTTGAAACAGCACAAAAAGGAAGGCCAAAGTCTAGCTACCAAAAATTGGTGTCACGGCATGCAACCGACTGACATTTCAAGCCAACTTAGACGAATAAGGTTCATCCTAAGACCTATGTATCACAATTTAGAAAAATGACAGGTGATGGGAGAGGAGGTGACAGCGGAAGACGGGTAACAATTTGAAAATTTAGAGAAAGGGCTCAGATGTCATAAGACTCCATAAAACAGCGCAGGATGTACTTTTGTGGTAGTAGTAAAAGACTGAGGGGTGCATGGAGCTGATTCAGGTTGTAAGGCTGGGTAAGAGCTGACGGAAAAACCATGGCTTTCCACATCCATTTGAGCTAGGCAAAATAGACACAATGAATACAGGTTAAAAACTACTACTGAATAGATGTAGAAAAAAGAATACAGAAAATGCAGAGCAGTTGAGAAGGCGGAGTGTTGGGAGAGGATGGACGCAGCAGATAAAACAAGAGGGACGAGTGAAGGAGAAACAATAACAGAAGGACTAGGAGGAATTAATAGGTATAGGGCGAAATTAAACAATAGCATAGACCATGTGGTGAATAACTGGAGATCAGAAGGACGTGCAGACAGAGTAAAAGCGGGAAATCAAAATTGCAGTGGCAGATTTTGACGGGGAAGGTAAAAGTGTAGATGCGAGGAGTAAAACGGAGATATTTACGAAGATCAAAGTCAACTGCGAACGGACTGGGGAGTAGGGGGAATGTTGAGAGACCTGTTTTCTCTTCGCAACCACCACCGTAGTCGAAAAACAACGGGGTTGAGGTGGTGTTGATGGTCTGGCGAGATTAGCACAACTAATTAGCTATACTGGGTTTCCAAATCCCTCTCTTGCTGGTGAGCGTACACTCACAACTAGGCGGGCAAAAACGCTACACGCACTAATCACACTAGAGATTAGCAGCGTCGAAGGCCAGCCTCGGCTATCTGATCAACTTCGAGTCAGTGATCGTTCCCTAATTAATGATAAACGTCGGAGATACAGAATGTCGTACACTCAAAACGATCGCTAGAATGAGGGGAGTGTTGTTTACGCAAATTAGTGCTTTCCTATACAAAATGTATTGAGGCTATCCAACCTGAGAACTGGGCAAAGATATTTATTGGGAAAATCTGAATTTTGCTTCGAGGTAAGTTTCAATAACCTGAAGAAGAGAGTAGGCGAAATAATTGACATTTCGCAAAGTGATAATGACGACAGATGAGTTATGAACAAGTTAACTGATCTCGACATTAGTACACAATACACACAGGAGATTCAACAGAAAAACAAAGTCACGCTTTGGAACAGCCTTTGCAGGCCAAGTTACGTAAGAACAAGACTCAAATAATGTGAGTAGTATGTGTGAATGCTTGAAGCGGAAGAAACCCGATAACATCAAATGGTTAGTGCATATTGAACACCCATGTCTTTTCGGCATCTTTAGCGCATTTCGGAAATGAGGTCGTTGAAAACGAAGAGACTGCCTCGATTACATCTTGGAGCCATTAAATCACATTCTACTTGCAATTCTTCAATGACAACAAAAACTGCATACAAGGCTTAACGAAATTTTCCCCAGTTATTATTTAAAGAATGACAAAAAACTTTCAAAAATAGAAGTGGGCGCATATAATACACCGATTCTAAAAAAATGGTTACATACTATCGCATGCTTTTTAGGTTCGTCGCAACGAAAAGTCATTCGTGCATAATGTGTTCCTTTCCCATTAAAGGTAGCCATGCCACGACAGTTGCCCTTTGACCTCTAAACACTGTCAAGTACACAAACACAATTTAGCCTAATTATTCAGCTAAAATTAGGCCTTTTGGGGACCTGTCTCATCTCGATTTAGGTCTTAGTCGATTTGAAAGACGCAAAGTCGCAAGGAAGGGGATGATTGCAGTTAGTGCACATTGTATTTACGTGCCATGCTTAATAGTAGGATCAGTTTGTGCGAACTTTTGTAGACCCTTGATATCTCGAAAAGTCTTAACAATCATACAAATTAAGTCAGTTAATATAAAGACTATATTCTAAAAGATCTGGCCTATACAAATGAAAGGAAGGCACTATAGCAATCAGTTGCTGGGTGCAGAGGTTGGGGGATCAGCGACGATTGACTTTTGAGCCCACTCTTTGTAAATCGGGATGAATTTTTTGAAAGAGGTAAGAGCGTAGGGTGGGATGATCACACCACCAGTTTCAGCGCAAGCTCCAACACTGGAACCATCTGTAAGAAAAAAAGACACCATTACCTAACAATACACGTCCAAAATTGTTTAAACCTTACCTACATCCACATTTCCAAGGCTCATACCCAACCATTACGAGAATAAGTTTGATTCTATTTGAGCTGGTTGTAATCTCAGGTAGTAATGAGAGAATACGAACGTGATCTTGATCGTACGGTGAAGAATTACATTATATTTCGCAATAAAGAGATTAAAGTGTGCCTAATTGCGTGATCTCCACATTGTCCAATGACATTTCTGGCAATTTCATGAGTTCGCACTAGCACCACGTCTGATCTTTATCAACAAGTAATTGAACCAAGTGCAACTTCAGGACATGACAACTAGTTAAGTCATGGCTATTTAAAGCTTTGCATACCGCGAAATAAGTGGTGATCTGATGGTGCAAGTTCAGGGCTACTTGAGCAATGCGACAGTACCTCCCAACTAAGTTCAGGTGTATTTCCACGAATAACCAAAGATAGGTGAGGCTTCGCATGTTATGATAAAAGCACGATTTCTTCCAGATACACATAAAGAACACTTTCCCAATTCCGCTAATTTCATTACATAGTCGTTTTTCAAGCACTTCAGAATTCCATTAAGATTTTGCTCATTCATCAACCTTGGGCAAAGGTCGATTGTGATCGATGTTATTGAGGATTATGCACTTTCCATAATTATTTTCAAAGAAAGAAACGACTGCATTGCGTTCCTGATGCATTTAGCAAACATTTACAAGGTGCAGTAAGTAAATTTTGTCCAATGACGGGGAAACCGAATGTTAGGCTTCTGAACGAGCCTCGGATTTTTCCATTTTTGTCAGTGGCACAATATTCAACTTATCGCATACTTGTAAGACAGCTTAATTCAATCATGGCTGAGATTTCACTTTTACCAACAAGGCCAGTCGGAACGCCGTTCGCGTCCCAGTCAGAAAGTTCCAGAACGCAATTATCAAAATTTAGGCACGTGAGTCCTGCTAAGCAATCAACACTATAAACGTCTCACAACTCTACGGAAACAAAAAAGCGAAATTTACAAAAATGATCATTTCTTGCAAGTTACGTTAAAATTGATACTTGACAGAGTTAAGAACAAAATAACACTTTTAAAATTAGTTAATTTACACCTATCATAGTGCAAAGGGGGAGATAATATAACAAAATTTCCTAGAAAACAAACGTTATTTGTGGAAAATATCTTGCGAAACAATTACTTGAGAAAGGACGATGTTGTAGTCAGTGGTAGCATGAGTTGCGTGATTATCAGAGGCAGACCTAATTGAATCAACACGCCATTTGATAAAAATTCAGAAAATCTAAATTGGGGATGGCCATGTGCACAACGCGTCATGCGCCGTGCAACAATTCATTTGGACAACTCCGGACTATTAGAATGTGCAAAAACACCAAACGAATTTCTCAATGACGATAATAACTGAAAACAGACAAAATTTCGCCAAATTGGCGGTCAACCAGTAACGAGTGCGATGCAAAAGTAGAAAGTGTCGCTATTAGTATGTTAATATACCACCGAAATTTTGTTTAGGGTGTCTCCTAGCTGGGGCAAAAAACTTTCCTGCCGGAAATGCGACTTCATTACATCAGCCGTGGACACAACTGCCATGCACAAAACACGGTAGCAGAAGACGGGTCTTATTTTATTCCAGATGAACTCGCGCAAACCCTTGCCATCCGCGATGTGAATCTAGAATATTTTTAGCACGACCGATGCGCCAGAAAACATTCACACTGTTGCCATAAAAGCCCTCGAGGATGGAAAGTATATTAATTAAAACAAAACTGCAATTAGCACCTGTTTTCCCCTCCCAGGAGTCGCACAAGCACCGCCCAAGCAACACTCAAAACTCGTACACAGCAATTTGAGGATACAAGAAAAAAAATTCAAATACGGATAGACCTCGGAAAGCCTAAAATTCGGATGCTCCAGTCTTGTACATACATAAATGTGGTAGCTCGGCTTGCACCTCACTAGTGAATGCAAAAATAAAGCCGACATTAGAATACTGGAATACATTTTATGTGCTAACCGTGACTCATTAGTCGAGAATTTGCGTAAGCTGTTACAATATGCCTAATAAAGAGAATTTTACCAAACAAACATTTCAGCAGTGGTGTCAATTAATAGAAATATCCATCTAGACTCACGGAAAAAGGAGACGGGACATCACCCAGTCAGACTATATTTGATAATACTCGCATGATCCTCTGATAAATGAACCTCTGACATGCTGATGAACAGTGCAAACCTGGGGACTTGATAGCACGGCACTGACGAGAAACCCCAAATTTGTCCAAGCCCTGCAAAGCTTTAGAGCACTGCAACACAGTGAGGGATCAACTCTACCTTAGTAGTAGCAGGTTGCGGGTTATAAAATGGACCCCCGAAATTATTAGCGAAATTACGAGCAGGTGAAAAATTGTCGAAAGGGATATGCATGCAAATTGTACCACGTGTTGATGCGGGGCATAAATTCAACATAGCAGTTCGGAGACAGTGTTCCATCAGCAAGCGAGTAAAAGTGGCACAAATTTATATTAAAACGCAACGCCATAAAGGCTCCGACAAAAAGTAGGGAAGGAAAATGGACCGCTGGATCCTTTACCGTCACGACAACGCTCCACCGAGCATAGCCAGGCCTGTTTAAGTGACTTTCGGTGGGCAGTTATCCTTCATTCATATCGAAACTCCGACATCACCAACCCCTAGCATTTGTTTTTCTTCCGAAAACGAAAAGAGGGATTAAAGAGAATTATTATACCGAACTGTAGGAAACATGGCAGAAATCAAAAGGCCTCAAATTGTACAAGGAATGGCTGGAGAGGTAAAGACGCTGCTTTTAAATGTGTACTGGGTTTGACAAGTGATAGAAGTGATGCTGTTCATTGAGTAGTTAAAAAAATACTTCGCAGTTTGCAGGCTTCTTGACATACCACCAAAATGAAGTTGACGCGACGGCAGTCAATGCTAAATTGGGCATTTTAGATTATGATCAAGGTTATGAACTGCCACTTCCGGTTTGTACGTGCAGCGTTAGTGACTACAAAGAGCACAGTGGTGAACTCATGAATCGGGCCTCACACACAAGCATACTCGGGCTTTGTGCGGCCATTGACCAGATGAGATGGTCCCTGCAGTTGTCATTTCATTCCTCACAGACTGGGATAAGAAGAGGTGTGTTGTTAAATAACAATTAACGATTTATTAGGGAAACAAAAAAAACATGCTAAGCACGAAAGTTGGCAGATACGAAATACTGGCCTAGAGCGACTAGGTTCATTAGGGTGGGATAGGGTAAAACACTGAAGTTGGGCTCAGATTTTATCACCCACACATTAATCAAACTTCAACGCCTCATCATAAAACGGTATTAGGAAGGACCCATAATTAGGCGGTTTAAAGTGGGTATGAAAAGCTTGGACGAAAAAAGGTTATTTGTATCGAGCCATGGGGATACGACGAGACCGATGACAAGGCGATATCTGAATCGATTAGCGAAACTACACTGACAAACTTAACTTTTGGACAAAATCATAAAAGGTTTGCAAAATCGTGGAAATTATCTGAAAAAAAAATAATTTAGATCTTATTCAATATACCGAAACATGCGAAATGGATTATGGATTATTTCAGTTAGGATCCGGGCTGCAAACAAGACCGTAGACAAAATAGTCTGTATGTAACAAGACCCATGGAAGCAACATTTCAGGAAGATAAATAAGGACTTTCGGCTCGAAAAGCCTAGGTGATGCTAAGTTAACATCCACCATGGTACTGCAGGGCAAACCAAAAACGGGCAATAATATCACTAATAAATCGATAACACGGGTTGAGTCAAAATTGGCAAAAATAGTCACCGTCATGTAGTTTCCAACCGGCCACTGGGGGCCCGCGCGGAGAGCCACTTGGCACAAATGGGCAATGGCGTAAACGGAAACCAGCACCAAAACTACTTGCAACAACACTACAGAGGGCAAACTTTGTCTTAACCACGGCAGATGAGTTATGTGTCCTTAAAACTGGAAGTAAACACACTAGACGAGAAAGAGGTACCTGAGTCCAACCACAAACCTTCGAATATCAACCAGGTGGATAGGTGAAATAGGAGGCTGCGTTAAAAAATAACAATTCACATGAATCAAAAAAAAGTCAGCTGAAAATCGCAAATGTTAAGGAAAAGGAGAGAGGAGAACACGATGATTCATAGAGGACAGAGGAAAAACGTACTATAACCGGACTTGGTGATGCCTGTATTTCACAAAACTTGCTTGTGGAGTAATTGGTAAATTATTTTTGCGAATTTGTCACACATTAGATGTTATCAGAGAGCGCTGAGGCGCGGCCTGAACAACAATGAGCGGGCTGCTCTAAGGTTAATTATTTGACTTCAGTTCAACATCCCATTTACGGGATTCTGCTCTGTCATATTTGGCCAATAAGGACTTGGCTTCGGATTGAATAAACGACAATTTTTTCCACGTCTCACCCCCAGCAAAGTCAAACTCACATCAAATTCGCGGATTCGTTTCTCGTGGTTCTGGTGATCCGTCAAAATGTGGTTGCAATCAGAACGAATAGGCGTTACGACAAACTCTGGAGACTTAACATGACTACACAACTAAGGGTAACTAATTAAGAACTAGAACCGTTTTATTCTACTTAGATAACGAGTTGTAAATTCCCACATTCGACGAGTAGGGAAAGGCGAGTAATTTGTAAGCCACAACGCCAAAAAACACACCTTTTGGCACCACTCCACGGGCGACCAAGTCACGGAAGTTGGCGATTTCCAGCTCCAAGTTGGCGACAATGCGTCGATCAGAGGGGATGGGCAAGTCGCCGGTTTGGTGGTCCGACGCGCCGCCCAACTTTTTCTTTCGCTTCAAATTCAACTGGCTGGAGCCCATCATGGAGCGGAGAATGACGACCTTGGAGTCCCAACAAAATGCTGTGGAGGCCAAAAGGGCGCCATAGACGTGGAGGCTGGGACGCACAGTGGCTTTGCGACATCGCGGTGCGTCATCGAGGCGTGATTCGGTGGGAGGTGGGGCGGACGAGGCAGCCTTTGAGTAGGCGTTCAGGAAGTCACGAACGTGCTTTGTGGTGCGACAATTTCGTGCAAGACAGGCCCACGTGAACTACCAGAAAAAAAAACAAACCTCTGGTTTTTTTTAATAAGAAAATTTGCGCTTAGCTACCGATGGAAGCTCTGGAAAGGCGACATTAGGTCAAGCCTTTAGTAACTGAAAACTGAATGTGCGAGATTTGTACTGCATCGAGAACCAACACCAAATGAGATGAATTAGGAATGGCTCTGCAATCAAAAATATAAAAATACAAGATTACAGCATGAATGGGAATTGATGCTGCGACAGAAGCAGTAACATTAGCAAGGATGCTGTGAACAGGCAAGGTAAACTAACATAAATACTTTTGGTCGCACTTTTTGCCTAATTTTTGTTCCACAAACGCTGCATTTTCGCATTTCATCTTTATATCGACTTAATGACTATGTGAAAAGATATCCTGGCCCCTGCCTCCGATTCTCAATAATTTGTTTCTGATAGAAGGCTCTTTCCAAAGTAGGGTAGCGCCCTATAATCAACGGAAATGTTGGGAAGTGAGAAATCCGGGTAAAAACGGTAATTACAATCCTTTTGTGTAAAAAGAATACAGGGATTGTAGGGCAGTTTTAAACCCAACATGAATTACTGAGACGAGTGGAATCTATTTGGTAGACTCGCAGTGTTTTCGTTTCGCAATCACGAAAACCACTAGCATAGTAGCGAAATTAGTAATATATTTAATGATCAGGCACTTTAAGTCAACACTGTGACGAAGCCTATACAACATCCACAATCCGTTAACATTCAATCATTATTGGTAATTAAAACGCACTTTCTCACGGTAGCACGCAGTCGTCCAAAGTCAAACACACACACACACACAGTGATGGGGCCACTTGGCTCATCAGAATATGCTGCTCGGCGTCGACTTGAATAGCCAGGCCGACTTCGACTACTGCAAGACAAGGAACAGGAGACTTTGTGTGTGTTTTGTTAAATTTGGTTATGGCATGGTGCAGCGATTGATGGTCGAAAACGATAGTGAAAGCAGTGAGTACTTGACAATCAATAAATACCAGTTACGATCGTGATCGACACCACCGTGTTAAATTTGAGACCGTGTTGTAAAGCAGTGGTACAAATGTGGTGAGGGAGCTTACTAGAGGCCTGTGAAAAAAAACCTTCAACGTACTACACGCAATTCACTGACACCTTTTAAGGAAATGTCTCCAGACATTTAGGACTGTCATTGCAACGTGTACAAAGTATTAAAGCCATGCCGGTAGTCGTTTTGGCGCCAGTGTTAATTGGTCATTGGCAACCGATCAGTATAACATCATAGATAAATTACCTGATCACAGTAGTTTATTAGGACGAGAAAGAAATAATTTCTTCGATAAAGCAAACGGATAGTTCTTACCTCATCTGGAGAAAGACCTTCACGGTTCGCCAACGCCATCAACTCGTTTACGGGAAGTCCATGGCTAGTTCTTCGCTGAAGGAGTGTATTCAAGATAGGAAGATCCAGGGCCACCTTATTCGTTCTCATAGTAGTTAAAATGCAGTTTTCGTAATGGTCTAACTCGCGTCCGGTATCTGCATGGGGAGGAGGCAACAGAGCGACGAGTTTTGTGATAAGTGGTGCCGCGGTCGGAAGAGGGATCTGGTAAAACAGAAACATGGAAACGACTCTTTCACTTTACGAAAACTTATGCCCTAATTTTGCACCACTTTTATATCGTCTTGGATTAAATACCGCTGCAAGTCTTTGTGGAATGAAGAAGGAAGCAACGATGACAACCAGACAACCGATTCGGCTTGCCCACTTGCCTTTCAAAACCTGAAAGCAGCTTTCTTGGGATTTCTGTGGCCACTCATTTGGTTGCATTATCTTCAACATTATGCTTCTGTAGGAAATTGCACACAAAGGTTGGTTATTAATAAGTCTTGTAGTTTGGGGTTTTTCGCTGCGACAATCAATAATGTTACATCTTCGTAACATCTTTCTCCGCTTTTGCAGCATTTATATTACCCCGGCAGCCCTGCTCTTTTTCACTCTCCATACAGCAAAAAGACCCATTCATTGTGCGAAGCAAGATGTGTCGGTAAATATGCAATGGTAATGTTTGACTGACAGGCAAGAAGGCAAACATAAACTAACAAAGGCTACGTGTAAGACACTAAGTGAAAATTAAACCATCGGAGGTTGGAGCATGCGTGCTCATGGATTCTAAGAAAAAAAAGTACATTTTCTTAATAATATTTCACGTAAGAGTGCTAATCTGTAAAATAAAGTGACAGTTTAACATGTTCATCAAGCTATTTAGAAATTTGGGCCGATACGATTGGCATTTTAATCGGAGCGAAATCTGCTGTTATGAATTTATGTCCATGATTTTCGTTGATACACAATTTAATAAAGAAACGGTAATATTTCAAAAAACATTTATTATCCATCGTAGAACTTTAACAAATTCTGAAAAAATAATACTTTAACAACACAATGTGTTGTTGCTTACTTCGAAATTCGTATGGATGCAATCAAAAAAGCCCTCCAAACCACCGACTAAAGCAAGCCGTTGCCAAGGCGCCAGGGTAGTTGAACCTTGAGGAAGAATCTCCTTTGGGGGTAATTGAAGCTACATGTGAAGAACAAGGTCAGTTTCCGGCGTATTCATCCGCACGCACACACACACCGATCACATTATCCCGCCAAAATCCGGATAACCGATTAGTACGTAATAAACTACCCCTACTTTTATTGATTATTTAACAACTATTTAACATTTAAATCTTTAATTCGTTTAAGAGAGTAGTGTACAAGGTTGGGCAAAAGCGGTCCGTTTGGATCACACGCTACTTGAAAATTTGAGATGAACTGTTTGAAGGGTCCTCTTTCCAGTTTATTGATAAACCAACACTGATAACTGTAAAATTTGAAATTTCCACGTTAAACAAAAGGCGAGGGAGTGCATACATAAGTCAGGCACCAAATGTGCTTATGAATCGACCCAACAGGGGCCTCGACACCAGTCTATGGGACAAGACCCCAACTCAAGTAGGAATGGCTTCGCTGTAGAAGTAAAACCAGATTCCCCTTCTCAAAGAAGCCAAAATTTGGAATGAAAGAAATGGTTAGCGAAATTGTTAGTTAGGTGCCAATTCGGGGCTAAAATAAAGAGGTGAATACCAGAAAATAGTAACCTTTGCTTCAATATCCGTGGGAAGGCAAAACCTAGTGACATATGTAATTCTTAAAGCCCTCAATTTAAGTAACCACACATGCGCCGTGCTTTTAGCCGCATGGACGACAAGGTGTCAAGATTTCAATGCACAAAGTGCTTCACCCAAAGGGAATTATTAAGCCAAAGACGAGGCCTTCGAGTTTTGCCTTATAGTAATAACGTTTGAGAAATACGGCACTTGGCAGGGCCTACCACAAACCGAAATCGCACTAAAAATCACTGGTGTAAATAGATGAAATAGGACAAAACAGAAGATGGATAAGGAATTGGTAAGGAGGCATGGTAATGCTGTTTTTTACTAAAGGCAGGAAAATCTACGACTCCTTCGGGAAAAAACCAGACAGGCAACGGCGGTAATGCTGAATGGTAGAAGCAGCATAGTCGGCAACAGTAATACCACAAGTAAATAATAATAGATTAATGTAGAGTAGGCATACCGTCTACAACCGTAACACGGTGATGTATGACATTTACACATGGAGTTAAGCATCTCAGATTGATCAGTGACCCTCTGGTAATTTATGGACATGGAGAAACATTGAGACTAAATTTGTCACTCCGTGGTCTTTATTAATAATAATGAGACTGAGCTACTAAACAACAATACCGATTTAGTTTTAATTATCAGCCGTTCAAGTATACGTCTCCAATTCCGATGGGCCAGTTAATTGAGATTTATGAGAGCACCTACCCGAACTCCCTCTTGAGGTAGCGGCAGCAGTAAGTTCACAGGACTCCGTATGGTCACGTTGGGATCGCTCCAATCGAGTTCGAGGGTGGCAGCTGACGATTGACGATTTTCCGGATTGCACACTATGGCAGACTCGGTATCAGTGGGTGTGCATGTCACTGGCACCTCTTCACCTGACGCAATGAGTGACATGCGTTTCAACAGCTCTTTGGCCGCTTGCTCGGAGGCTAACACGCGCGGACTCACGGTGGTTTGTGGTGACCTCAACTTGGGGAGACTTTCAGGAATTACCTGAAATTAAATACGCCATACAATGCACAATCTTCGATATCAAATAACAACAATGCATTTGCACGTCGATTCGAAAAACTTAGAATGAATGCAGCCTGACACGAAACAGACCAGACCCGCTATATTGAGACACTCGCTAGGTCGTAATAAAATCTGTTCATCAGGCCACAAAGTTGCTCATTGACTGTTAGAGAGTAATCAAGTACAAATTTAATGATTTGACGACAGGCGGCAAAGTCGTCCGTTCTGTTGGGATCCACCTAGCAGATCCTCTAAATAGGTACTAACAATAAACGCCATAGGTGCATAAAATCAACATAAATGCAACTGGAGCGACCTAAAGGGGTAGTTTGTAACCCAAACAATGGAATGCACTTATTTGACAATAATGCAGCAAGGGGAAAGGTCTAGCAGTAAAAACACCGGATCATCCCAAACGCACCTCGAGGTGGGTGTCTGCTGGCGACTTTTTACTACGCCCACTTCCGCCTGCAGGACTGGGGAGGGAGTAGCGGCCGGTTCTCGGTGCCACCACCCCCAGAATACCCGCCAGAAGGGTGAAGTGATGCTGGTTTGGCTGGCGACGGGGCAAGCGGGGAACGATAAGATGCCACGCATGCAAAGCAAGCCGAAGGGCATCGAGAGGGGAGGAGACGACGCCGGATTTACTGGACTGTTTAATTGCCGTCAGAACGGCCGTTAGAGTATACTCATCAGGACGGAAGGGAGGAAGAGGCTCGGAGGAACAGGTGGAGGGTACAGGAGGCGCTTCGGACGGCCGAAGAATGGATGGAGGGAGTCCACCCCGTCCCAAAAGCATTGCATCGAGGGCCTGAAAGCAGGTGTGGAGGTCACCAGCTAGAGCGCGAACAAAAGTTTGCAGTTAATGTACTGGTTTCGAAAATGCCAATGCATTTGCACACAAGTCGACTAATTTACGGACAAACGCAGCAAGGATTGTCATCTTTTCAATGAGCAAATATACGCGAGAAAATACTGGGAAAAATTTGTGGTGGATACGTGAAACGGCCTACCTTTGCCCAGAGCTTGCAAAAGTGCGTTGTAGGTAATTCGATTCATCCGAAACCCACGTTCATGTAAACGGAGCCAAAGTCCCTTCACACGATTCAACGCCGGTCCAGCGAACAAAGCTAGGTCAGGTTGCCAACTGCAGTGGTAGAAAAACTTGCAACACTTACTGAACATTTCGTGCTACTCAAATCAAGCAAGTAGAACTTCGATTTAGATGCTCCTGTAGACATGAAAGTGACCCACCTTTTTTCGCTGGTCGAGTTAGACAAATTGAAGTCATAGCGGTGCTCACGTTGCCAAGCGGCAATATCTTCTGTACATGCTCTAAATTAAAGAACGAATGCACACAAGAAAATACCGAGTATATACGCTTGGTAACATAAACCCAGACATTTCTAGTGAGTCCTCAAGCCTAGGACCTGCGTTCTACATATTTCAACAAACGTATCCGTACACAGTTCTCTTTTGATTTCGGTAGTAAATATATCACATGTATCATTCTGCTTCCACAGAAGACTCAAATATTGGAGTGCACGTAAAAAATTAAAAACACAAAGAAAGTGGTGCTAGATATTTGGCTCACCAGACCCAAATAAAATAACAGAATTCGGCTGCGACTTTTGAAAATTCATTTCAGTATTAGCGTCAAATTACCTAAATAGTCGAGAATATGTAGAGTTGGTTGCTGCGATTCCGATTTCCGTCATTTTTCGATACACCTTAAAGGCGGTTTCGCTGTCACCTACAGCGGCCAAACCGCTCAAGAGAACATGAATGATATTCCTGTCAGGCATAACGCGATCGACTGTCAACATCTTGTGGAAAAATAGCTGACGGAAAACAAAATAAAAGACCGCTTCAACAACATAAGAGAGTGTTTAAAGCGAATCTTAGATCCAAAAAAATCCACAGTATCTCGATGACTAAATTTGAATAATAATCACAGTTTTAGACTAAATACCTGCGCAAAGTCTTAAAACGTCAAAAATGCGCAAAATATGCTTAACACAGACCATACGATTACACGTTGTAGTCAACAGATTTCACATAGTATTTGGACATATCAAGCGGCTAAGATAGAAGAGAAAGGAAAACCACAAAACCCTCCTGAATGCACCAAAACACTTACCTCCGTCGCTTCCTGAGTGGCTCCATCCTTGCACAATTTGTTAATTTTACCTAAGTACCAAGCCGGTTCGTGTTTTCTTCCAGTCCTGGATAAACGGAGATGATGATCTTCAAGTGCTTCTTCCTTGTCGTTATCAGTTTTGTTAATGTGAGAATCAGAAATATCGCCTAGAAATTAGGGACAAGAATAAACTAAGCGCACGTAAAATGTTCATAGTGGAATATTTGCAGCTTTATTCTGATATTGGAACATTTAACGCCAAGTAAAAGTTTCAAACAATTACCAAACATTTAAAATATAACATTCTACGAGATGAAAAAAATGGAGAAACATGTCTACGAGGCCTAGTTGCGGGCTCATTTAGCATTAACCATTTGGCAGCCATGCTTGAGAAATAAAGTGTTAAAATGGTTTCTTTGGGCTTCCTGATAATAGCAAAGTGTTTTGAGAAAGTCATTTGAAAAGTGCAGCGGTCATTGTCATGTAAAAGATTGCTCCAACTATAAGAATTGTTAGCAACATTTTGGGGTGCCAAAATACCGAAATGTCGGTCTATGATACTGTTTCACAAGTAATTATGAATCGAAACAGGTACATGTCTCCTCCACTTGATTTATTGTGTTATGTACTATAGAGGATATGACAGTTCGATTAAATTTGCAAACAGGATATTCAGTTCAATAAACAATGAAAAAGGAGTAAAATTCGCCATTACCGAAATTCTACGGCACAGAGTACGACCGCAGAATGAAATATTAACCTTATTAAAACAGAAGTCATTTGGTAGAAATATACGTTCATGCGAAGGGTAAAATAGGCCGCAAAAGAGTCTACTTAGGTTCGTCTAAAAAGTGCTTAAAGGCAGCTTTCTTGTAGGTGAGCGTACGTAAAATTTTCACTAGGCGAATTACCAATATGTCAGTTTAGACATACCATTAGCAACGAGTTCGCCAAAAGACACGGGACCATTGTTGGATCCAAAAGGTATTCTGCACATTGGATTTTCCAGACCCCTTTGTTGAGCATCAGTAATAATATTAGTAGTATTTAAAACGGCAGGAGAGCGGTAAATGCGTTTGTCGAGGTCATTAACCAAGCGAATTAATTGTGGTGCAGTTATTGAACCAAACGATCGAGTGCAGCGACAAATACACGTAATCATTGAATTTGATTCCAAAAGTCTACGCATCCTCTATGAATTCAAAACTCTAGCCATGCATTCTAAAATAATATCGAACGCAGAATCAACCGCCAATAACGCAGAACACTACAACCCACCACACCAAATTTGATAAATCGCCGATTTCGTGAATTATTTAAACATAAATTGAGCATCAGAGATATCAAAAACAAGCAGGTATTCAATAAGTGTTATAGATTTATTCAAGTATATAACCAAAATACTAATAAATAGTTTTTGCAAAGGGCAAAGTTTTGATTTTAATACAAAAATTGTGAATTATTAATATATATTTCGCCAAATTGACTCAAATGAATTTGATTTTTTAACCCTTCAATTTTTTTCACTGAATTACTAAAAATTCTATTAAATTAATACATTTATGATTGACTGTTTACAATGTAGATACTTTGCATTGATGATTTCCACGAACCCGTGAGCTATAATAGAATCTTAAATAACTAAGTAACTAGTTATGTGAACAGTAAATCAAACATTTCTTAACCGTGAAATTTCCGTCACTTTCTAAATGATTGCTTCGGCTCTAAATGATTTTTTGGAACTTTAATTATGATATTGCTCCTCAGGTGATGTTTGACAGTGATTGTGAAAAATTATAATTTCATTTTTAACGAAATTTAAACTTAATAGACAGTGCATGTTTTTAAGTCGCTTCAATCTTTAAAGTCCAAGTTATCGTTTTTCGATTTTTTATTCATTTTTGTGGGCTAAAATCCTAAAATTTTCAAAAAAAATAACGTGCAAAAATATCAGCTATTTGCATTTCGAATACTTGATCTCCATCACCCTCTACAGATTAATAAGTACTTTGTCCTTCCGTTTGTGTCTACCCCTTATTAAATCCAGTTCATGTTTCCTATCATCCATTCACGTGAAATTAAACCCGATTATTCATCCATTTTTAGGCCGAAAGGATGCATTTATCATGAAGTTCAAGCTAAATAGACACGATAGACCTTAAAAATGTGCGTGTTTAAAATCGGCTGAGATACTTAGACGTTTAATTTAGTTACCTTTTTAAGGGTAATTCATGATACATTAGAGAAAAAGTGATTTTTTTGAAAAGGCATACTTAGCTTTTGAGATAAACCTTTGATTTTTATAAGCGCACGCTATAGCACTAACCTTTGCCTGTTTGGACTCAATTAGTGCAGGCGCTAGTAGTTGCATTAAGATGTCTACAAATCACTTATTTTATCTCCTAACTACAAAGTTTGACCTCGGAAATTAGAAAACTGTTTTTATTATACGATGCAACGTATTTGGAAAAAAATCTGATGCCAGTTAATACCGTTTTGCTACGTCACAAAAAAGTAATAAAGATGATTGGCGAACTTAATTTTGCAGGTAGTTGCTATCAAAAACGACTGCTTTTCTCCTTACAAATTCAAATATGTAATACAAGTTGATGTAGACTTTGATTAGAACATTTATCTTTAGGGCAATATTGTATCATCAACTCATCTTTTAATTTCCATGAGTTTTATAATACAGCATTTACTTAATGGCGTTTCATACTTCGTCGCGCGTCCTTACTAAATGCTTCAGTGAAACTAAAAAAACGAAATTTAAAAGGTTTTAAGTAACGGGAATGAATTATTATCTTCGAAAAGCTATGCGTCTAATTTTAATATAATTTGGGCACTCCGATAAGCCACTATTGATGATGTAATAATTCAGCAGTATAGGACAGAGTATTTTCTGGTCGATTTAATTTAAACATACTTAAATATGCATTGCAAGATGGAGTACACTGCTAATGGCTGTAGGAAAAAATCCATCATTTTACGAATTAAAAAATCAGAGCTTGACAAAGCGTTGATTTTGTGCAAAAAAGTGTTCCGAAATCCTCGACTTTTTGCTTTCATTAATATATCGTTTGGTCAGTTTTGAAACCATGGATTTGAAAAACATTGTGTTAAATTTTTACAGTAAAAGAACTACTGAAACCATGAGGGAAAAACTATATACCTGTTGACGGTATTCACTATCAGTTTGTTGGCACAAAATTTATCAAAAAAGTCAAAAGTTGGACACTTAGCTATTATTATTTAAAAATATTAGATTTAAAATAAAATTAAAGCACGACAAATATTAAGTAGTGCACCTGAGTTGCGTGAAAAAAACGGATGGGAATTGTTTTAATACATCAGTTGACTAAACGATTGTGGAAATTGTGTCTGACGCCAGGCCATCTCGGGTCCCTCGCACTGTGCTGCTTTGGCTTGAGGTTATTAGTCGTTTTATCCTTGTGGCTTATACATTAGGTTGCACAATTTTGCAATTTTCTAATATCGCATATGTGCCTACTAGATATCGTGTTCATTGGTCATATTAGTAAGCTAGAAGTAAACCTTGTCGAAATTCGTAGTTCACTTAAAATTTTGGGGTCTCCACAACGATGTATTTTATTCCCCGTCGGTACTTTCTCCTGGCCGTAGTTTCTATCAAGGGTAATTTTGGGACATCACAGCATAGGAAAGGATTCTCGTTTTTTGTTTTCCAGAAATCTTAAGACACCCATTTTACGCTAATTCATGGCTCATAATATCGGTATTTTTATGTGACGGATAACCGCCATTACCCCGATCCTTTCTTTTCCAATTAGCATTATGTGTCATTGCACTTGGGTCTTTAGCTTTTCTCTGCGAATGCCCTGGTGATTCGAATCCTTAATTACTTAAAAAGTGAAACTTATTCATTATGTCACGTTTTCGGCACTTAATTAATACCGTGACTGTTAGCGCAACATAAAGGTAACTGCATTCGTTTAATGCCTAATGATTTCCTGGTCTTACATCTGCAGTGTCGGAAATAAACTGCTAGTATTACGTGTTCATAGGCAACTGTTTATGGTGAAATGTTTTCAAAGTGTTGGTGGTTAATATTTGTTTTTGTTAAAGCACGAAATGCCTGTGCTATTGCGCAATGCAATGTTGATGTTTGTGACTTTCTTCGTTTAGTTAGCTGAGGAAGCACCCAATGTATGGTTCCAATGATAATTACTATAATACGCTATTCACGCCTATGTCTTACGATTTGGGAGAGGGGCGAAGTATGTTGCCACCTCCTCCTCCACGTCCAACTCAGCCAACTCCCTCCACTCACATCCCAGTCGACTTTGCTACTGCCTTAGCCCTGGCCGCAGCAACTGCTGCCGCTAATTCTAATAACTTAAGTGGAAGTTCCAGTGGCAACACAAATGGAGCAGCCGACAGAGACAGAATTTGTGATTACTCGCCGAATTGCTATGCCCCTCATTCTAACTCTCCTGCTGATTATACTGCGATGTACTACCCTCGTAGTGCAACTGTGGGTGGTGAAAACAGCACCTTCTACCCTACGTCAACGTCGTGGACTTATCAGCCATCCCAGCAGGACTGCGATCCTCTTTACCTACGGACTGCGGGTAGTAGTTATAATGCAGGAGACCCTCTTCAATCATCGCCATTCAATGGCCAGTTTAACGATCGCATAGGGGTGAATACTTCTCCTTACATGATGTATACTAATGGAGGTGGCGAAGACCTCGCTGATCGATTTAACTGTGTCAGTTTAAATGATGCCATGGTGGCTCAGCAACCTCATGTCTATCCTGCATCTCCACTGCAGCAAAATGATCCTCTGCTTAGTAATCAGTGGCAATCGTATGTGGGAAAGGCAAGTGCTTATACTTCTGTGATATTTAGGACCTTTTTTGTACTTACGTTTCACGCTCAGCGAGTATGTCGGCTGTTTTTCATTTCCATATACTCATAGCCCCATTATCCCTGTATTCCTCAAAACTATTCGATCAGTTGAGTGCTATAAAGATTCTGATTTGAGCTTTTATTTTGTTCATGATAAAATTGCAGTGTGGGGATCATTATGACCTGAACTAGGTTCTGACGTGTAACAAGAAGTGTTGTAAAAACTAGGGCACCGTTCCTTTTTTTCAAAAATGTTGTCAGTTTAATTACTGAGTCCATTATGAAAAACTGGGTTGTTTTCAACTTTTTTGTAAATCAAGCTTTTTCTTAAACTAATTCTCAGTAATTTAAGATGGCATTTGGTCGTTGTCCACTTTTTGAGGCTACGTACATAACAATTCTGTCATTCTCTGTTGCGAAAAATATGGACTTCATGGTAGAAATCGAGTCTAACTATTTACATTTGCTTTAATCAAAAATTGACAATTCGCTGTCTATTTACAAATGTGTTGTCTCTCGATCGTGTAATTGACATTCTATCTGAAGTACGAAATCATTGTTCACTACGATTCTACCTTTGTTGTTCTTATGGTTTCTGCATCGTAAACCTCACAAGACCTAGGGAGTTACCTTATCCAATCTGAGGCAGTCGATTTATTACATACCAGCTCCAGATGTGTTAAATTAACGTTACCTTTGTTTGCTAAAAAGGTAGCAGCCATCTCGCTGGACCTCTTCGGTCATTGGGAGACTCACTGATGATTTTGCTTTGCGACTTTTTCTGGTGAACTGACTTTTTAATCGATTGAAAGTAAGCTCATCCTCGTATAATTCTCTCCTTACAGGATCGTAATGCTATAGGTATTGCTGGACCAGGGGGTGGCCGACTCAATGAACGGTACCATCAAGCAAGCTGCGACCCAGTGTTTGCTACCAATGGTGATGGACAACGGACGTGGGCAATTGTCGCCGGAATGAAATCCACCCCTGACTCTGCTGATATCTCCAACTGGACGGGGACTAAGCGATCCCCACAATTCACTACGGATATGGTGAATGTGGGCCTTAATCCCGATTTCACAGATGTTGCAGGACTTGGCTTTAGGTATGGGCTACTTGTCATCGAAGCGTTGGATTACTTTGAAGCGACATTTAAATCTGTTGTTGTAGCTCGGCCCTTCACACAGAAGTGTGATTTTCTACTCATGTTGCCGACGCATGTAGTTGTGCCAATTTATTGTGTCACTTTTCTTGTGTACCTTTGACTTTTTTCTCTGCTTATATTAATTTCTCCATAGACACAACCTCCATCGCCAGCGAATACAAAAGACTAGCGATCGACCTACTCCGGGTGCTCGACATGGTATAATTCGCAATGGTGCCTATGAACGTCTGAACGACTCAGGTACCTCTGAACTCGAGGAGGCCGTAGCCAAAGCCCCGATCCTCCGCGGCGAATCCCTTCAAGCTCGTCTTATGCGCCAAATCAATCCTCCCACCTTTAATACCAGCCCTTCACGAGCGCGCTTTTTCGTCATCAAATCCTTCTCCGAGGACGACATTCACCGCTCCATTAAATACTCAATCTGGTGTTCAACAGAAGCAGGGAACAAAAAACTGAACACTGCCTACACTGAAGCCGCGAGCGCTGGCGTACCTATTTACCTGTTTTTTTCGGTAAATGGGTCTGGTCACTTCTGCGGCATCGCGGAAATGACCTCCGGCGTGGACTACTCTACGCGATCAGGTGTCTGGGCACAAGACAAGTGGCAGGGCCAATTTTCGGTCAAATGGATCTATGTAAAGGATGTCCCCAATATGGTGCTGAGACACATTCATTTGGAAACCAATGACAACAAACCGGTGACTCATTCGAGGGATACTACCGAGGTCCCCTTAGAGCATGGCCAACAAGTGTTAGACATTTTTGCTAAGTATGACAACGCTACGTCTATCCTGGATGACTTCGATTACTATGAGAGGAGGGAACAACAGGAGGTATGCCGATTCCATTAATTGTTACGTGAATCTTAACCAGCTAGTTTTACCTTTCTACTCTCATCCACTGAAAAGGGTACTCATCATTGTCTGAATCGTACTTCACCCCATTAATCGTGAAAAATGGAACTTGAATGATGGGAGGTTAAAATCGAAGCGCGAGGAAGCAGTTTCTACTTCAAGGAACTTGCTCTGTTAAATTGTATGGTGGTCCACAAAGTCGATTAGTCAATTTTGTTTCGTCACGTGCTATTGATAAAAACGATTCGCCAAAATGCTTGATGACTCACAATGTTACTGAATACATTTACTGGTAGATTTTGTCGTTTCTACTTAACAGCAATGACTCTGCAGTGCGTTAATTTTTCCTCATTTGGTTATGTTTTGTGGTAACGGTACAGAAGGGTTATTCTGTTCTCCTACTTTACCACTAATAATAATTAATGTCGAGGTTTGGAAGATCTCATAATTGGTAGATTTACGGGTCATATAATTATCTTCACCCTAAATTATTTTAGCTGCATAATTCCGATAGCCTAACATTATTCCACCTTTTATTGGGTGATTACAGGAGATCGTGCCCAATTTTTATAGATTATTATGCGCATGTTTTTTTAAAGTTTTATTAACGGAGATTTATCTAAATGCGTTGAGTGTCAACATAACACTAAAGTATTTGTTTGAATTGACCTGTGTACAGAGCTAATATTAAAAATAGGGTATAAGTCACATTTTATGACGGTATGTTAGATGAGCTTTGAAACGGGGTGTCTTGAAACTGCAACAGTAACGTTTCAATCCCTTTTCTGAGTCGTGTGCATACTTTTAGGACACTTAAGAAGTGGTTTAGTCTATTTCAGATATCCACTTCGATTTAACCATCAGCCTTAGCTCTGGACGACCTTCAGTCATTGGTAGTGACTTCATTCGTGATTTAATGGCCAGACCTCAACTGCGGCGATCTAATGTCAGCAATTAATCCAGTTCAGCGATAAGGTTCATGTAGTGTGTCCAAGTTTAGTGTTTCATCGTGAAACCGTCAAATCAGTTGCCGCTCAGAAAACTGAACTGGGTTTAAGTTGGCAATATTCTAGCATTCACTGTGTTCTCTCGACCTTGCCCCATCAGCCTGTCATCTCTTGTTTGCAAAGTACTTGGGTTTGCTAAATGTCTGATTCTACGGAAACCGTCAAAATCGATATTGCTACTTTGTGAACAGAAACCAATACGCAGGGAAATATTTGTACGAAATGATGGGGATAACAGTGTTGATTGATGATATTCTTCATCATTAATAAATTTTTTCAACGGCCCAACAATTAAAACTCGGTTTTTACTCTTAATGGGTACTTGACACATCAGTGTCATTCAGCGCTTTTGCTTTTCAGTTGAATCGCAGAGAGACTGCCCGGAGACGATGAGCCGTAGCGCATCACCGTCAAGGGCAGGAGTAATTACTGCAGTATAACTAATGCCTCATCGTCGCTTTCTAAATTCCCTGTAAAGTAGCCGCATTCCTATCGGCCTTCTGTTGTTTGTATAGATTCGTTCCCACAATATTGCCCCTCTCCCATTAATTGACTTGAAGACATCCTGCTGTCCATCATGTTTTATCAACTTGCTTCTCCAAAATATTTCAACCCAGACTTTCCTTTCTAAGTCTTCTCATCCTAAATCCCTTCTAATGCTTGCATTATGTAAACGCGCCCCTATCTTATTAGAAAAGAAGCCATATAATGCCCAGCCCAAGCACACTGGCAAGGGCTATTTTTCGAAAAAACGTTTACCTCACTTTTTTAAATCAAGTTCTATTTTGACGCAACTGGAACTAGTTTTACCTTTGTTGTGGATAAATGATTATAAGTGCGTGAGCATGCTAACGGTACCACTGTAATCCGACGGCCAACACTGTCGGAGTTGGATTTGTTTTTTGGCCAATATTTTCGTGTTTGGCAGAAGGGTAAAAGGCTTGGGTTAAGGACGTCTTTGAGGTGAAGTTAGTTGCAACTTTCTGTATATCTATGGTTGTTGAACGTTCAAAGCTCAATTTACCAATACCTTGGTTTATTCGAAGATGCTTGCACCATTCCTGCTTATCTGAACGCGTTTTCGTTGATGCATCCGTAATTAATCCTTCATTTCAGTCACAAGTGGGCAAGCTCATTGTTGACACAGTTGTGTCGGAACCAGTTTTGAACTGCAAGCCGATTCGTTGTTGATTTACCTTGACCATGAAGTAACATCTAATAGAATGTAATGACCAGCCAGATTTGTTGCGCTTTGTTTGCATCATTCTGCGTTGCGTCCAATTCCAGCCGGGCACTAACGGGCATGTGTGCTGACTCGTTTATGTCAAAATTTCGTCGAAGTTCCGTAGGTTTATTTAAAACAACAAACTTGCTGACGTGCTACAAACACCTGAAAGCTGTATATAGTCAGATCCATCTTCCTACAAGGCTCGCCTGTGTACATTATATGTACCAGTCCAGGAAAAAGGCCTCCCATTTATAGGACAGGGTAATTTAAGCAAGAAGAGCATCTTTTTGGCCTTCGTTTGCAAGAAAGCGAATAAAGAGCACACAAACTTGTTCTTCGGTTGTTTGTTTGGTTACTCCAGCACCAAAGCCGGAGCGAACGAACGCTAGGAAGTGTCGCTTGGCTTTGGCCAGTGTTGTTGGAGTCCAGGCCTCTTGACCACCCAACTGTAGACTCGCATATTCGTGGTTGGGAAGGGACACTTGCTCGTCGCCTTGTGACTGTGCCGTAAGAATCAAGCCTATTACCCTACTGGTGGCCTTCTCCAAAGTCTAAATATTAGAAAAACCAAAATCGTCAAAAGTGAACACCAGTACTTCCACCCGACTGGCTCAGTTTCAGTTTCGCAGACATGGCAACACGGGTTTAGTGCTTTGCTTAATGCATTAGTGAAAACGTGCGGAACTTTCAAGGGTGCACATTAATGGCGTAAGAGGTTTTACAAATTAGAGCGTGTTATCTAGCCCAAATGGTTAAAACGGCAAGAAGGGCAGAAATTCATGCAGGAATACAAAACCAATCAACCGAAATAGTGAGCGAAAGTAGGCCTAACAACTGATTAGTAGTACAGTTTTGGAGCTGCCTGCGGCACTGGGGGTTTGCTTATGTTTAGATTTATACGCTAAACGTGTGTACAAAAAGGTACCCTTGCCTGGAGAAGTTTTCAGTGCTATTCGGGAAAAAGTACAGAAAAAGCCAACGCCCAAATAGAGCTTATCGATAGTTACGTTAATTGTTCCTACTTGGAGGTAGTCTACGGCCGCAGCTTTGACAGGAATGGTTGATTGGTTTGGCGTAATCTTTACGTCTGACTGGAGAAGTTCGTGGATTGTCCAATCACACAAGCCCTCTACGAGTTGCTGGAGTTCCTCCGCAGGACTGGGAGATAGGGTTAAATCGGGAAGACAAATCTCGTAAAGAGGACTGTCCCATCGAGACGCAGGATTCGGACGTTCAAATCGACTCACGAGATTCGTGAAGAGATCATCAGAATAGCGGGCCAACTGAAATTAACAAAATGGAGATGCTTATTCTTCAATGATTAAAATCCGAATGCTAATGGGAGCAAACTGGTTTATAAGTCTATCTTTTCAGTTAACAGAATATTTTATCGAACCACCAAAGTATATATGATATAACAGTGATCTGTAAACCTTGTGGTGAAGTGTGAAAAATCGGTTTCTTTGCATGTACAGTCAAGGGCAGAACTTTTATGGAAAAAGCTATTAGGATTTTACCCTAGTGATCGGTAAGGCCACTAGATCTTCTGATAACATGCCGCATTCCTTCAATCCAACAGTTTTAATGCAACACACGTGAGAGGGAAGTTGATGTGTCTGTGCGAAGACTTGAAAAGGACAATTAGGTCTCACCGCTCGTAGACAAAATTTGATTTGTGCGAAATGCGGCACGAGAAAATGACTATCACCTACGATTTGGTTTGGGCTATTCAGTAGAATCCAAAGAAACGGTACCCCTAATGATTAACCTGCTGGGTGTTTACAAAAATATTGTTGTCCTTTTGTTAAAAATGTATTAGGATGTAAACTTGGATTCCTGGAGAGTGTAATTTTAGAATCTTAGCAATAGCTTAAATGCACGTTTGTTTAGTAAAAAAACATTTTCAGGGTCGAATCCCCCCCAAACCCCATCACTTCAAGAGCCTTTCAATGTCTCACTGTTGTAGCCCTTCAACTATGGGAATATTGCAAAATCCCTTAAGTGCCGAAATTGCAGCTTTGGTTACACACTCAAAGGTCGTGCAGCCTCCACTACATTTGTCAGTTCCCCCCTGCCCTATGATTGTGACATTGCAGCCCCCTCCACCAAGGTATCAACGTGAGGTTAATGTGCGCGATAACGCGATGTGAAAATGGATAACGGCTACAACAGTCGGAGAGTCATGGCCTTGGTTTACTATCACCAGTTTCCTTGTTTGAATACATTTTATTTCGGTCGAATTTAGGGCTCTTTTCCTGTACACGGGTTTGCATAGCAAGCTTTAGCTTTTTTTTTAAAGACAAAGAGCCCACTTTTCAAATGGTAGGCAGACATAACACAAGGAACAAGGTGTGCACACAAGTATTAGTGAAACTAGGAGTCTTATGGGTTTAAACTAAAACTCCGTTTCTTTTGACAAATAAATCTGGTTCTGGAAGTAAAAGTCGGTTACAGGAATTAAAATTTCCAGTCCGTCGTTATTGCACGAAACGAAACCAGTGAAAATGATCTCACTGCTAAATTACTGGTAAATTACTGCAGTGATATCGATTCTAATGCAAGCTTAAATTCAGCAGCATGCTTTCTCCGGAATGAGGCGCAATGTCCTTTGCGAATGGGAGTTTTTTGGTCAACCGGTGGCACCTAAACAAACACAACATACTTGGGAGTTGTTTGCCCGACACGTCATCTCTGGCGTCGTGCAGTAGACGATGGCCTGCTGGTGCCGCGTGGATTTGGCCACACAGTGCAGCTCATAGCGGTAGCCCTTGATGTAGTTGTTTGCGTCCACTAGTACGCACACTGCTGAGTTGCCCTTCTTGCTTGCAAGGATCCTGTCGGCCTGCTCATGCAGAAAAACAGTAAGACGCGGAAGTAATAGAAACCATGAGTACATTTTTTGGTATTCGTGATCATCTGAACCCCTGACAGAATCGGTGTCTAGTTAAAAGCTGTCTTTGATAGACATGCACCGTAGTCTGAACCTCCGGTAACCCAAGAGCGACATCGTATTCCCCCATTAGATTCATCAATTTGAGCTGCATTGTTCCTCGATCAGTGGCGGATGTAATGGTTTCTTTTAAAGATTTCAAACTACCGACCACGCAAATGCCTAGTCTTTGATCGTAGACATCCAATCTCTGCCATAATTAACATGTCACGATTGAAAACAATGCGCTCTAGCTTAGTCGTACGTTGTATGACTAAATGAGGTAAGTGTTCACATGCCTGTGATTTGATTTGCGAGCGAAGCTGCTTCTCCAGTCGTGCATCGGAAAATATTTGGGCGCGGGGGTCCCCTTGGTCGGCGGGGGAGGGGGAGTTGGCTCGCGCGATGGCCTCTTCGGAGACCACTTCCACCTGGCAATCCGGTCTTCGGGCAGAGAGCGCCTCAGCCAGCTTTGCAGCCACAAGAGACTTGCCGGAACATGGATAGCCACAGAAGAGGATGAGCGGCATTGGTGCTCTTAAAAGGGAATTACATTTACAAAGAACGGTAAATAAAACGACATGAACACATGTAGCCAAAACCACGCGAAAACACTACTCCGACTTAAGTTTTGGTGGTAAAGTCATTGGTCTAAGGTGTTTCTTGGGCCACCTTTCGAGTGGGCTTTGAAAATGGTTCCCGCTGGTTCCGACACATACTTTCAATAACGTTTGCAATAATAACATAGGAAACTGAGAACTGTTCTACCCAAAAAGCTCCACAACTTATTACACATGACGGAGACGTGCATTGGTAGAGAAAGTACCACCATCATGAACCCCTTGTACTGACTTTTCCCAATTATTGAATTCCATATTCTACCCTGGAATCCCACATCGTTCAACCAGCAGGAATCCCTTCAAGTCAAATGCTATTCTTGAAAATCCTCAGTTACGCCTTGCAACCACGAAGGTAACACGTGAAATCAGAGCATTAGTTTAGTGCGCTTTATTAATCTGCCTATACAGTGCCTCGAAAGCGAACCATTAAGGAATTGAATATGTGCTGCACCTTTATTAGCTGCACTACTGACCTTTCTCTGTTTCCCCTTACAAAACATACAATCAAAACAGCAGAGAAGAGGGAAACCTCATACAAAATATACAATTTTATTTAAGAATGTATAAAACGGGGACTAAGTAGGGTAGTGGTAAATCTTAGCGGTCCCATCGGCCGAGGCACTGAGTATGTAGTGTTTGTTGTCGTGTGGGGGAGCCCAGTCAACCGAAGTGATCATATCCCGATGACCCATTAGATCATACAGTGGCGCTGACACGCGCCGGGCATCCCACAACTTCACGACTTTATCGACCGAGCCTGTTATAAATTGATCTGGTCGGTGTGGTGCCCAAGCCACAGCGGTCAGCCAACTGTTGTGACCCTGAAATCCGATCTGGGCGAGAGCGTCTAGAAGAACAAACGTAAACTATTAAATTAATATTATGCAAAGCATTTTGGCAATCGAATAAGGTAGCTCAGACCCAGCTTCTGATTGGTCAATCGATAATTCATCAACTTTCAACAGTGAATAGATCAAGAATAATAGCGTGTCTTTATTAGCACACAGTAGCCTGTGCGGCATGCATCTTAAATAAACTTACGTGCTGAAAAATCGCAAAGCCAGTCAGCAAACAGTGAGAGCTTTATGCACAGGGAAAAAGGGAATGAAATGATAAGAGAATATGATAGAAGCCTACTTGCAGCAGTCATAACATACATCTTCCAACAACGATTTACACCGGTCTAATGGAAAAGGATTTGAAGTATTCTTGAAGGACCCACAGATAATTTCAGGTTTTTATAATGTAGGCAATAGAAAATTGGGAAATATCTCCACATTTACTACAATTTGCCGAGTCGTTTTGTTCCTGTCCGAAAGGCACACTATGATAATTAGTGACGGAAAATGTCTGCGCACAACAGAATACATACAAGTGCCCCTCCTACACAAATCCGTAACAAGTTTGCTTCCAGGACTTGTAAAGTTAAAATTTGTTTGGCCGGAACAGTTGGCCATAGTGTTACAAATGATACATTTGGATTAATTATGTGTGGGCCAAATACGCCTCGATTAGTAAAACTGAAATCCACAACAGAGACACCACATATACGAAACCGTTGCATATTAAGTAACCCCAAAAAGTCACGTACATTCGCAGCTTCCTTATAAAGCACTTCCGAAAATTCGATGCTAGTTCACAGTTACGCCGTAGATTTCACTCAAACTACGCGTTTTCACATTAATTAATCACGATTCATATGGGTTCATTGTCGTAAATTGTCATCAAAATTAACAATGATGCAGAACTGGGAAATAACCTGCTGGAACCTACCAGAGGGAAGAGTACAAACAGCCTCAAAAATAATACTTCAAGCTATGCTTCTGTGCAGGTAAATCAATAGAAGTGAGGACGCAATACTTACTAGAAAATATGAATTTCAAATAGTCCAAAACAACACACCTTTGGCCCGGAGGTCGTATCTTCGGACTTTATTGTCGGAGGCAGCCACCAGTATACCATTTGGAGAGGCTGAAAGGTCGTGCAAAGGGCTTCCAACCATGATGCAGCGGGCTTCACCACACTTTGGTGCGACAACTTGATCCCCGGCTCCTACGCCCACATCCCACAGACGAATCGACTGGTCCCAACTACAGGAAATAAGTTTCGGTGTGGAGGCGACGTCGGCAAGCCAACACACTCTGCTCACCATATTACGGTGACCCGCCAGTGTTAGCCTCGGAATCTAGTTGGAAAATGACCAAATTAGCTCCAATGATTTCCGTGCAGTTGCTAGTTTCTAGGGAGCAGCAAATAGTTGTTCAGATGGTAAATGACGAAAGGCAAAATAGAACAATCTAGAATAAAAGCTAAAATACGAGAACATAAGTGCTAGTCTTGACAAATTGTCTTTCGAAATCGTTCTTTTTTAATTGTTTGGATTTAAAACCATCAGCTGTTTATTTTGACTTGGCCTGAATACAAACAAACACGAAAGTGATAACGGCTGTGGCAACCCACTTATCAGTTTGTTGTTAAAAGCAACCACCTCACGCCGAAGTAGTTCGACCAAATTGGAGAACAAAATTACAACCTATTCTGTGGTCCAGAGACCCAAACCATCAACAGGATTTAAAATAACTTGGTGACGTCACCGCACAATACCAACTCATGAAATCGAAAGTAAAACCACACGGAAGAAAACTCTATGTAAACATAACGTCTCTAGACAAGACGTCGCGAAATTTACCTTAAGTTGATCATGATCTAACGTTCAGGTACAATTTTGAGATGTGCAAATCCTGGACAGGATGAAATTTGCCAGTGTATTTATAAAAGAGAATGCTCCATATCAGTTTATTCCTGATCTTTGAAAGATAACTGATGTAACAGTCAAGCACTACTGTATGATTTCATTTTGCGAGTAAAAACAACAAGTAGGCGTTAACTCAGAAAACGGCTTACACGAACTGGAATTTTATTTTCGGATTTTCTTTTATGTGAAATTCCGCCAGTCTCTTCTGAAAGGTCAGTTTCCTCAGGACCTTAAATGCCAAAAAATTAATGGTAGATAGATATTTAACAACAGTTAGGTCGAACATTATCGAAGAAAGAGGGGACTATTTAAAAATAAACCAAATCGCAAAAATCTTTCTGAGGCATACTTGCGGACCACACTTTGATGGTTGAGTCAAAGGAAGACGAAGCGAAGAGATTAACGTTGCAACCGGCAATGGTCGTGGACGAAGAAAGGGAGAGAATAGTCTCCTTATGACCTCGGCATGCAGCAACGCATTCTACGGAGGCCTTTGCGACGTTCCACACCCAGAGTCGAGCAACTTGTCCAAACCCTCCAGTAATGAACATGGAGTCTTCTGCCTCTGACGTACCTGTAAAACAAAGGTTTGACAGAATCCATGTTATTTAAAGGAATATACCCAAATAACAAAATCAGGCGCATTGTGATTATAGAACACTAGTTCAAACGAGGCGCAGGGTATATACAAGTAAATGGTTTTGTTAAAAAACATTTTAAGAAATGAACAGGTATCTAGATCCCAATAATGTACCGTTTCTAGAGAGAGCACAACACGAATCTTGACCTGATAAAATAGAATGGTAAGGCAAGTAGTGGTAATCCTGTGAGGAGTAATTTGGAAACTCAAATTTGTCTCTGAGTACTGGTTTTACCTATTTTGATCCATTCCACAACCTTCGGTTGTTCGTCCAACGTAAGGGTGAAAATAGGCGCAGTTTCTCCCACAATTTGAACCCGAACAGTTCCATCATAACTGCTTGTAAGGACACTAAAATCAAAAGTGTACAGTTAGAAAGAGCCAAAAAACACACGAGAATGTTATTTTAAGACTTACAATTGTCCCCGACGCCTGACACAACTGATAAAATCATCATGGTTGATTTCGGAAATAGCCTCAGGTGCAGCTTGCCGAACTGTAAATTCGATTTCTATAACTTCCTATTTTAATTAAAAACTTCAGAAATTACAGATGCAAGATTCTTTTTTGCAAGAAATTCATCCAAAGTCCCCTCAATGAATTCGTTTTCCAGAAGGAAGTCGAAGGATACACAATCTGATTGTTTATCAAGTAATCCAAGCAGAACATTTTTCAAGTCTTCTGTAGTCGATGACTTCGAGATGCTTATAGGGTGAGATGGAACAGAATATCTGCAGTACTAGGAGTAAATGTATATTAATGACAAAACCTATCATCCCGTGTGAAGAAAGAAATCTGAACGTGCAAATCCATCAAGACAATTTGCAATGACCACTAGCGCATCAGGAAATTAAAACACGGAAAGTGGATTATAAAATTTCTTTTTGAATTAGAACTTAACCAGCAAATTGTTTAGGCAATCTTAAACAAAAGTCTTAAATTCTTGTTGTCATGAAAAAAACTTCTAATGTGATTATAGAAAAATTTATCTGCAAGCTTTACACAATTTTTTCCACAGAAGTGTTCTCTTACGGGCACTTACACACACACAACAATGACACGCTATGTGCAGCTGACGAATGGTCGCTTACGTCCAGCGTATTGTGTTTCTGCCAGCTTTCGGTGATGGATAGGGGAACGGGTTGTCTTAAAATCTCGACAGGTAAATGAGCCACTTGCATGTTGAATATGTTTGAACTCGAGACCGGTTGATTTTGTTCCTGGAATTGGCTGTATGTAATATTGCTGTTTCTCTCAGTTGGTTGTGTGGCGTCAATGGGGCAAAAGTAAAAACTTCGGCCAGGATTCTGGTGAATTCTGCTTTGCTGAGGTAAGTAAAGTGTGAAAAATGAAGAAGGAGGAACAAAGACTGAAACAGGAGTGGAGGACAGTTTCGTTAGTGATTAGTTGAAGTGCCACTGGTATCGTGAGCAAGTTTGTTTTCTAAATGTTTGTCTCACACAGTTTGCAGCATAATTGGATGGCCACGTCAAGATCATATGTTGGTGTGAAGCTGGAGCTAAATTATGACAGCTTGCTGGTGCATTCTGTTTCGATTGTACACGCTCTGTACCGGAATTCTTATTAAAATTCAAGCAGTATGAATATGTAGGTACAAATATGAGACACACTGAACGTGAAACCATCAGTCTGTTAAGTGATTTCAGTATCTGAGATGTTCGGTGGTACTATTGCTTAGCATCTCTCCCCAGATACTCTCAGTATCTTCGAAGGAGAGGTGTGCGGGATGGGTTGAATGACGACATCGTAATTGAGCGCGTTGGTGTTGATTGTTATTGTGAGACTTTGAAGGCTCACCAGTGTGCGCCTGCAAATAAGACTTGTTTGAAGCGTCAGTTCTTGGTGGGATGGAACTCTGCACAGTAAAACATAAACATGACGGAATCAGTCAGTTATTTGTTGCTGCCAATTATTAACCCTTTGTACAATGTCTAATCTCTGGCAGCAACATACGTTTGATAGGAAGTGTCTGTTTTCGATAATAGCCTAGTGCGACAGTGCAGCCGTCATGATCTCATTTTAAAGTGTTTGATGTAAGCGTCTTCTTCTCTGTCTGTTACTTCTTATTCCGTCAACAAAATTGACATTTTTATCCCATCCCGACTTAGCTCAGAATGCATCTTTTCTTTCATTTATTAAAATTGTCACCATAAATTGTACTTAGTTGAGTAAAAATTTTCTTTTGAACAAATTGTAATTTCGTCGCTGATCTTTTAATGTAAATCTCACCGTTATTTACTTGAAGTGAGACGTTGATACCAGAGCATGCAGTATCTGTGGTGTCATTTTGATTTTTACATAATTTTGGGATTAGGAGCCTTGATAGTCCTCATTTATTGGGAGAATGAGTCATTTACAAAATTCATAGATTAAACTAATTCCTAAGTTGCGACAAAATCTTTTTCACGATGTCGTTGACCTATTAGGATATATTCATTACTTTAGTAGAAATTATTCATACTTCTTAAAATGTCATAAATGTCATAATTAAAAATGTCTCAAACTAAGCGGCTGTTCTTTGTGTTAAGCCATTGAGATCCAACATAGGATCAAGCATCTCCTAATTATTTCTCGAGAACATTTGCTCGACTTGACAGTTCCATTTGGTTTTTCTGACACTACAGGTTGATTTAAGCAGCCAGTTGTCATTATCAACTACATTGTGTAAGTTTTGAACTTCTTAATTGGAACGGGCACAATAAAATTCCTCAAGTGAAGGGAATTTCACATGGACTTGATAGTCCTTCGAAGGGTGGCCGATCTCGCGTGAGACTGCTCGCGTGGATGAGGACTTCAAAATTTCCTCTCTGATTGGTTCAAGTCGTATTGACAGCCGACTGAAGCAGTCGCGCATAATCTGCAGCATTTTAGTAAATGGATAATCAAGATATTATTTCTTTTTACTTACTTTTGCCTCCTGTTTTCAGAGGCAATTTCGTTGACACCTTTTTTTGAAGCAGAACTTCCTGTAACTGTAAAAGCTATGGAGGTCAGTCTCTGGAACTTCGTCGCTTGATATTTGTTAAGCGCCAATTTTATGAAACGTTGTTAACCATACCTAATAAACTTGACTATCCGTGGTTGTCCAGTAAATGCACGCGTGCACACGTGTCATCTGTTCATTG